CCTCAAGTTCATCCCTTTCAGAGATGTCCTGCTGTGAATGTACCTCTTTAACTCTCTTCCCCCACCCAAACTGCTGGAATGATGAATGGGGATACTACTCTGGATCTTAACAGGGAAATATTTCATTAAAAAAAAAAAAAAAAAGAATTTTAAAGGTGAAATTTTAGACATCATGTTACCACTGCCTAGATTTAAGGCCAGGCAGACATCTATCCCCCTGATGTCATGGGTGTGCTGCGTGAATAAATAAGTGCTCAACAGATGAGGGTCACCTTCTCTCCTGGGCCCACGGTGCTATGCAGGGTGTAGGCCCTTATTTCCTTATTAAGGGGTATTACCAGCATGAAATGGTATTATGAAAACTACATTCAACAATTATTTGATTATTTGGGTTAATATAGAAAATCAAGTAAGATAACCTGGATGTTCTTGTCAGCCCCAGTACAAATCACTTTGGAGTAAAAAAATATCCAATGCTCCCTCTCTGAATGCTCTAAAAGAAATCAGCAAATTCAAGCAGAAAAAAAAAAAAAAAGAATAAAACAACTTATAGAACAAACTATTTCTTATCCAAACCCCCTAAATTCTCTATGCCCCAGCTAATGGAAAAATTAGCTCCTTACGCATGAGAGTTGATGTTGGTTTGTTCTTATTATTAGCAAAGTAATTATTCACTCAGCACGAGAAGGAAAAAAAGCAATATATTCTATCAGGGAAGAGCTAGTTTTTCCAGGCAGACTACACAGTCTGAACGTTGGGATAGAATTTAAATCAGCCACCAAATGAGCTGGTCTCACACAAAAGATGAGACTGAAAACCTTGCCATTAGGGAGGCATAGCAAAATGGTTGTTAACCATAAATACCAAACAGAGAGGAAATTACTAAACAAGTTGGCCATGTGCAGTGTCCAATTTGCTCTCCAGAGAATTCGGAAGGGAAAAGTGGAGGTGGAATTTCTCAGAAACTCTCCAGTATGACTGTACAAAGACAAATGGGGATGAGAAGAAGAAGAAGACCAGAGCTTACACTATGCTGCATCGTCCTCCACACAGTCCTCTGGGAAGCAAGAGGAAAACAGATTTAGAGGAAAAAGAAAAAGAGATTATTCTATACATAATAGCACAGAACAGGTATAATGTTTAGCTTTGTAGGCTGGAATTCCACCCAACCTCACCCCAAATTCCCTCAGAATGACCAGGAAGAAATCTACATACACAGTACAACGCTGAATACTTACTGGAGATTTATGGGTCTAAATCATCACCAACTTGATGAATTAACTTCCAAGTCTGGCTTTAAAAAGAATCCTACCTTTATGGAATACACTCCCATAAGATGTACAATTTAAAATACATTTTTGCTGTAATGAATCCATTGGAGTGAAATAACAGATATTCCCTGCCCAAGTGAATTCAGGAGCTCTACAGCATGTTGTCCTCTAATATTCCGAGCTGTGTAATTAATTGCCTTTTACAGAGGATAATTCGAAATACTTCTGTATGCTGAGGTCTTAAAACATTGAGCTATTTTGTGTTGATTTATTTTTACAGTCTATATTTCCAGCAAATTGGAACTCTCCAAAAAACTCATGGTTTTACATCAAACTATTTAAGAGAATTCACGGAGTATAAAAGTATGAAAAGAGCAAGAGAACCAATCTCTTTCTGAGTGCCAACAGTCACCTCTGGCCTCTTTAATTGAAAATCAATAACAGTCTGCTATGACAGAAGGGCTGCTCGGGTGAGTGTTGATAACAAGGAAGAGACACATGGAAGTGGGGCCAGTCTGTCAACCAAATTAGCTGATGGCATTCGCATCTTCAGTAAATCATGGCTGTTGGCAGAAAGGACTGTGGCATTCTCTGACACGTTGGCTTTCTATCAGCTGCTGAATTCATACAAATATGATAATTATTGGATAACAAAAATAACTTTAGTATATCTAAAAAGCTACTGACTAAGTAAACTGCTTTTTATACCCATAAAGCTTTAAAGGAACAAATGTAAATGTTTCCTAGATATTAAAGAATTTCAAGTTCTTTATAAATATCATAAGAGGTTGAATGACGGAATTGATGTATTTTTAAGAGAGACGGGTTTTTTCTTCATTTGCTTTGTTTTCAAGTCTCTCATATAAATTTGAAGAGTAGTTTACCCAGTTTGGGGTTAGAAGCTTTATTTTTAAAAACAAATCCTATAATTGCCAGGTCACCTAAAAAATACAGTAACTGATATGAGAGCATTTACCAACAGATCTCCAAGTTAATACCACCAATGCAAATTTAAATTTAAATGGTGTTAAGAAGCAGCTGTCTAAGAGTTTTATAGTTGAATTATCTTGACTTCAGCAAAGGGGTGGGAGTGATTGGGATATTCTTTTTGATACTGTCCTCTGAAGCATTCTCTCTGCTAAAACACTTAGAGAAATTAGGGGAAATCTTTCCCAATTATACTCCTTTTCTAGGACACGTTTCTCAAAAATACTCAGGGACCATCTTTTCTGGGGAAAACTGAAACTGGGGCAGGTAACAGGAGCCTTGTCTATAAACAGTCAAAATAGGCGCTGATGTATGACAGACCCACAGGACAGTTCACCAGAGCATCTATCTTGAAGATGACTGCGTCCAACACTTGCCCAGTGTAGACAGGCCAGGGGTAACTGCTTCGCCTTTCCACTATTCAGAGCTCTATCAAACCCTCGAAAGGAAGAAGGCCTTGGGGGAGACATCGGCTGCAAATGGAAACGCTGATACTAGCTTGGGGCCTAGCTTGTGTTTTCAAGAATAATCTTGGTACAGCTCCTTTTGATACTGAAAAGGCTCCTTACTCTTAGAAGCTGAGGAAAGTAGCTCTAGGTGGGCTTATGGCTGGCTGTGAATCACAAACTGCAAATTCTTACCATCTGGGAAGGAATCAAAATTTAATTCAATAATAAAAATAAATCAGTAAAACCTCAATTCTCCCGTACAGAGACTTAAGCCACACCTCTGAGGAAGTAAACTATTGTGATGTCAGAGAATGTTTTAGAATAAAACTGGCTTATTGATTTAAACTCCTATGCACTGGGTCTTCTGGTCCTTTGTCTTACGACTGTATGATGGATCATGACCAATTATTTTCAGGAAAAAATTGATCAAAGCGTATTTTTTCAGTGCGTAAGTCAAAGATCCTATTTTACAACAGCAGACTTATATTTGGGAGCATTATGAAGATGATCGTTGAAGTTCCTTAAGAAAAAAGTTCAAACTCCAATTTTCATATATAGATCAGATTTTCAACCTCATGTGAAATTCTCCAAGTGCTGACGATGCTTTCTTTAGGCTTGTACTAAACTACATAAATACTGTTGTCTTGAGAAAAATATTTTTCTTACTCTACTTTCCTTGTTTGAGTGTGTGTGTTTATTTCTTCTGTGGAAGAGAGAAAATTGTGCTTCTCTGTTTCCAAGGGAAAAAAAATTAATTAGCTGTCATAGCTATCATTATGTTGTTTAAATTCAATGCAATTTTAAGTAAGTGCATAATGTACCCCAGTTCTTTAGCTAGATTTTATGAAAATATTGAAAAGCTTGACTGGTTACTGAGTCAACTAAAATGGGGATCTAAAAAAGGCTCAAACCCTACTCACCATTTGTTCTTATTAGACGGATCTTGATATACAAACCAGTTTGTAAAGCAAAATCCCAAACCATGGAATCTGATTGAACCATCATTTCTTTAAAACAACTGACTAGTAACTAGTTGTTTGGCGAGATATATTGGTTGTTTAAAAACCAAAAGGTGCCTGGATTTTAAACTTTCTCCTAAAATTTTAAATACAGGACAGAAATCAACCAAGTAAAGCAAAAGGTTGAAGCAATTAGATAATTTCGTTTCCAAACACTGCACTGGAGAAAAGGTGTTTTATTTGCTGATAATCAGTACTAAGTTTATAAGATAATTTAGCAGTTAACTACTCAGATCACCTGTCACTTCACCTGTCACATTTTAAGGCTAGGCCTTTATGCTGCAAGTACATTTGATTTTTATAGAGAGAAATGTTGAAGTGTATTTACTTTGAGGCCAAACTCAACCAATTTCATCTTACATGTTCCAGAAGGATATTAGCTAGAATGATAAAGTAATGTATAACAGTGTCCAATGAAAACATATTCACAACCAGCAACCCTGGAGGTCCAAGTTTATATGACACAATCAGATGTGGTTCGACTGCTTTATGACCTTCACGTGTTTACTGTTAATTTTACATGAAGATAATTGGCAAAGCAACATCAACAGTGGTAACAATTACAGGTATATAAATTGTTTATAGTACTATAAATGGAAGAAATTAAATAGCAACTAATCTGGCAATATTTCTTTGATAGGATAAGCTTTTAATTTTTTATAGCAAAATTTGAGTTTTAAGACACACTCAAAAAATTGTGTTTACTACATTTATGGTTGTATTCTAGGAGTAAATTGCCTTGCTGATGGTTTCCATTCAGCCCCCATCACACATTTAAATGGCTCAAAGAGTGACCATATCTAAGGATTCCAACTTTTCTAAGACACACACAAAAGAAAAGAAGTGGTAGTAACATTAACCTGGGGTCTCTGCGAGGACTTTCAAACAGAAAAGTTTACATATTAGGAGTCGTAGAACAGTTTCATTGTATAATTGAATAAATCATTTTAAGACAAGCACTGAAATACGCTATTATAATGTCTCTGAAAGAATTGGTAACAGTAACTTAGTCTTCAAATTAATATTTCAGAAGAAATATGAAGTTGAAATTTTGGCTACTGCAGGAGTGGATTAATAGTTACAAGATTTCTGAAATTGATTCATGGCCTAAAAGAAGGATCCCGTTACTTTTTAAAATTCTAATTAAAAACAGGAGCAGAATATGAGAAGGAGATGACTTTTACAACCAACTTTTCCGAAATCTTATTGTGTGTTTTCAAGAATAACCTCGGCACAGAAGGGCCAGCTATGGCCCTCAATCCGCGAGTACTCACCAGCCGGTCCAGGCTAGTACCTGCGGCGGTTGTCGGTCTTTCTTCAGGATTGTAGGGCCTGAAACGAGTATTAAAATTTTCTGGAGCTGAGCGGGCCGATCTGAGGGCTGGAGCGGGCTTGGGCTGGCCACATCCCTGAAAGACCTGGAAGAACCACAGAAAGGTTGAAAAAGCCACACGGTGATCTCCTGAGGTCATGACGCAAAAGCGCGCAGTGCAGCGGTTTTCACGTTTTTCATGGAAATTTTACCTCAAATAAATGCTTATCTTGAAGTGTAAACAAACTTAAAGAAATAAAACCACTAATATAACAGCAAGAATGACCCAGAAAGATATGGCGTGACTGCTCGTAGGCGCTGACCCTTAGTTTCACCCTATATTAACAATAGGGTTTGTTATAGTTACCTTGGAATCCCTGGGTGGTACCAACCGTTAACACACTTGACTGCTAACCGAAACGTTAGCAGTTTGAGTCCAACCAGAAAGGCCTGGCAATCTACTCCCGAACAATCAGCCACTGAAAACCCTATGGAGCCCAGGTCCACTCTGATACACGTAGGGTCGCCATGAGTCACAGTTAACTCTAGAGCAATATTTACTTCAGAGGAGGGATTCCGAATTAAATAAATTTTGTACTAGAAGCTTTCATGCACTTGAATTGGTTCTCAATAAACATCCGTTTGGGAGTCTTGTTATCATGACAAATGTATTTCATGTATAGCATATAAGGCCAAATACCTCAAGTGACTCCCCTTTGAATAATGAAAACCTCTACTGGAAGAATTCTTTGTCAACACCCTCTTGAGTAATGGTGTGGAAATAGGACATGCAAATGTGGATGAAATCCATATAATGACAGTTTCCTCTAATTTTGTTGTTGACAGCTGTTCATGTCAAAATTAGGATTGCTGTGGGAAATCAAATGCTTCATTATAATGATCTTAGGGACTGAGCTGCCAGTTCTTTACCACAGCGGCTTCACTCAGGGTAGGGGGAGACACTTCCATTGCTGTTTTTGGAAGCTTCACACTCTGTCCTAGGTATCAAGAGACAATACCTTTACTAGAATTATAGGAAATGTAACATTTTCAGAACTTTTTGATGAGGTTTAAGTTTCTTCCATTACTACACAGGAGATGATTCTACTGTTAGATAACTGTCTGCCTGTCTGTGTGTCTGTCTATCTATTTATCTGTCTAGAACTCAGCTGCCAACCAAAATGTTGGCAGTTCAAATCCACCAGCCGTCTACCACCTGCTCCTTGGAAACTCTACAGGACAGTTCTATCTGTCTACCTCCCTCCCTCCCTCCCTCCCTCCCTATCTACCTATCTATCTATCTATCATTTTTTTAAGTAAACTCTTAAGGACTATTTATGTAAGCTAATTTTTAACTTGCACGTACATATTTACAAAGCATGCCTTCTGTTCCGTTATTTGATTCTTCTTTGCTCCTTTGTTGTTTAACTCTAGAATAAGCATATTTCATCAAGCACATTATGTGATTCCACTGTGGTACGCAGGGAGCTCTCCAGTGCCATTCCCAACGACAAACTCTATCCTGAGACACAATTCATTTTGTTTTACCACTACAGCTAATTTCTCTTTTGTTGTATTCAAAAGTTCTCCTTCAACTCAGCGTTTTACAGAGCACAAGCACTTTGTCTTGGCATTCCCGGAGATTGGTCTTAACACACTATCGATTATTCTTCCCTCACATAATTTCTAAAGTTGATGGTGTAAACCAGTGTGATAAAGATAGTGGCCCCTTTTCTCCCTAGTGCTTAAATCACTTCCCAGTGGCAAGGTCGTTGCTGATGGAAGGTATTAACATTTCAAAAGCTCCAGGGATCTGTTGAGTGTGCTATTTTGGATTGCTTCGGAAATGACAGCTGACTTTTAAAAAAGTATAAAGCCTAAGGCGAAACAATACTAATGGCCTTGCTGAGAATTCATGAGGCCTGGGCACTGAAAGAGTTAACAGATCTCCTTAATTAGCCCTCTGGGAAAAATCTGGCTCACCCTGTTAAGTTAAATTAAAGGAACGTGAAATGCCCTGGAAGAATATTAGTGTTCTAAGGGAGATACTTCATCTTAACAGGAAACCTTACCACTGAGACAGAGCCCTCACAGCATTGTATTCTTTACCTGGCCTCCTCCTCTACAGTGCTGTATTGAAAAATCATTTTCTTTTCTGGGCTCCCCCCACTACCCCTAGCTTTGCATTTGAATCCTGCTTTTGCCTGGAGGTTATATGTAAACCCCATTGCGCCTGCTTAGTATGATTAAGAATGTTGCTGATGTAACTTGTATGAACTCCCTGCTTGTAAACCCCTTTAAAAGTAACTGGCCTGCCTGCCCTTGGCGAGCAGTCTTGGCAGCAGCAGCTCCGAATAACTCCTTTTCCTTGTGCAACGAAATAAAGGTGCTTTTCCTGTTCTCCCACCTTGGTCTCTCGTTTACCATGCTGAGTAAGAACCTGGGGTTTCTACCCGGTAACAGCACTTGTTTAATTTTTTTTTTTTGTGGTGGGTGTTAACTATAACAACAGAATGTAGGTGAGCTAATATAATACAGCCTAGCAGCTTTCTGTCATTTATATCAGTTTGAATTTTGAACATAGCATCAGGGAGGAATCACTGGGTCTATAATCCACACCCAAAGAAAACACTGACTTCCAATTATTTTGGGAACAATGTCTAAACCCACAGAGTCAGGTGGAGACCTACATAAAAATCCGCCACAATCATCTCATATCTGAAGGTCCTCAAACACAGATGCTATTATACCCTTCAAAAAGGGAATTGTTACAGCAGACACCCTTTAGTGTGGATGTTACCAATCTGGGAATCCAAAGGCTATTTTTCAGAATGTCACAAAACCCAATGGGAATGGTTGCAAAGGAGACCAGTGGAAAGATGAAACAGAGCATCAGCTTACTCTGTTTTAGCCCAGGAATGATGTATTATTCTAGTTTTCTCAAATTCGGCATATGTTTTAAACAACACATATCAGCCATATATCTTAAATGACATATACAATAAAAATTAATAATTTATGAATACATGCAATCTATTAGCTAGACAAAACGTTCTTAAAACTTGGGGTTCATGGTGGTGGGTGACAAAAGGAATTCTTGTGTAGAAAATTTGGATCGTCTCAGACACAATTTTCTGAGTTTGTTATTAAAAAAAAAAGTTGCCATCTAGTTGATTCTGAATCATGGTGTCTTCACACGTGTCAGAGTAGAACTGTGGCTGATTTTTCAGAAATAGATAACCAGGCCTTTCTTCTGAGGCACCTTTGGGTAGACTCGAACTTCCAATCTTTTGGTTAGCAGCCAAGCATGTTAACCATTTGTACCATTCAAGGATGAGTTTGCAATAGCGACAGTATAATTAGACAAAGTTTTATGATTTGTGAGGTCCAGGGCTAGATTACCACAAAAGACCAGTCAGCTTTTTTATTCTGGTAGTATGGTACCTCCATATCTTCTATTTCGGGTAAGATAAGAAACAGACGAGCAGTATGGAGGAAAAGGGCCTTAGATTAAATAAAAGTCAGTATAACAAGGTTCTCCTCCACATGTGGACACGAACTTCCTGTGACCTTGAGCAAATTATCTAACTTCTCTGAGGCTCAGTTTTCTCATCTTTAGAAACCTCGGCATAAAAGATCCCTAAATCCCTTCTGATTCTATCTGGAGCTTGGGCTTTGGAATTGTTGAGAGATCAGATGTGGAGAGTGAGGAAAAGAGAAGAATGGAGACTGTCTTAAGCACTTGAACAGGGCGTAGTACCATTTACTGGATGAGTTAGGATGGACAAGGAACAGGTCTGTTGGCAAAAAATCAAGAGCTCTGTTCTGGCTGTGGGAAGTCTGCAATGCCTTTTACACAGTCACGTAGAGATATTAAGTACGCAGCTGGACACACGAATCCAGGAGTGGCCAGGCTGGAGATGTAGATTTGGATCATCAGCCTAGGATGATATTTAAGGCCCTAAAACTGGTTGAGTTTACCTAGAAAGAATGCATAGAGAGGAGCAGACGGGGCCAAGGACAGCCCAGTGCCACAACCTTTAGAGGTGTCTCCCTGAGCCTTAGTTTCCTCCTCTGTGAAGTGAAAATAACAACATTAATTACTTTACAGACATTCTGGGATGAGAAAGTGCTGTATGTAAGACAGGAAAACACAGCACGGTGTCTGGAAAAGTAAGTGTTTGATAATCATTAGCTAATGAGATCATCCTTTGATCGATTCTTTCCAGAAGTTTTGCTTTCTGAATAAACTGATTTGAAGGGAAAAATAAAAAAGTCTGGGCAGATGTTTCTTAAATGTTTTCCACAAAATATTTCCAGGGCAGAGCAGATAATAGCTGTTACATGAATAATAGATAAATGAGTTAAAGTTAAATTAGGTATCTTCTCAGGTAACACGTGCTTGGTACGAGCCTTTATCATGTTTACATGTATTCTGACTTGTCTAAACGGAGGATGTCATTTGAAGGATTTCCCAATATTATTAGGACATAAGTTTCCCCAAAACATTCTCACAAGACTGGTGTTCCAGGTAACATACCTGGACTAGGGTACATAGGTCTAGTCACCTTTGTGAAAGGAGGTCTAACTGCCAAGAGGAGAAGAGATTTAGCTATAACTGCTTTTACTTAGAAGTATTTGTGAAGCCATTCTACCCTCTTCTACCCTTAATTTGAGAGAAGAAATACTATTTTAAGACACAAAGATTCTTCTCTTTATAGTAGAAGTTTCTAGAGCACGTAACTGCAGGCTAAGCCACTTTACTGTGGAACAAATCATTAGCTCTACCCCTTTAAGAAATAGAATCAACATTACCTTCTGCCTGTCTCCCTCCAAGGGATGTTGAAGGGAATAATTAGACAATTTGGAAAAGTGGTTGGAAGCCCCATGAAGACAGATGCTACGGATGTACAAAGGAATTACCCTTCCCACCTCGCTGACTCACAAAGCGTGTGGATTTTGGGAAGGGATGTGGCTCACAAATCCTCTCTGTAAGAAGATTATGAAAATAATGTCTCAGAAGTATGCCGGCATTCTGAGATTAAAGAAGCTGACATTAAGATAGAAAGTGCTGAATCAAGAGACATTTTATAGTTTCAGAGGGAT